CTTCTTCTTCTTCTTCTTCTTCTTCTCTCTCTCTCTCTCTCTCTCTCTCTCTCTCTCTCTCTCTCTCTCATTTTGGACTGCTTTGTAGTAGCACATGCATGTAATACTAGCACTGATTCGGAAGGCTAAAGGCATAAGGATCCCATCAGTTCAAGGCCAGCTTGGTCTACAGTGGGAGTTCTAGACCACCAAAGTTACACAGTGAGATCTGTCATTAAAAATAAAAAAGCACACGCCATTCTCTGTTGTTTGTGCACATCCATGAGAGGCCTGCCCCTTTCAGAAGAGAAACAGAGGACGAGTGGATTGGAGGTAGGGGAGGGGGGAGGGGATGGGAGGAGAGGTGGGAGGGAAAACTTGGGTCAGGATGTAAAATAAATGAATAAAATTAATTAATTAAAAAAAGAAAGAAGAAAAAAAGAATATCTGATCATCAGTGGAGTTTAATCACAGCACTAAGGCAGAGGCAGGCAGATCTCTCTAAGTTTGAAGCCAGCCTGGTCTACACAGTAAACTCCATGCCAGCCAAGGCTACATAGCAAGACTTTGTCTTAATTTTTTTTTTTCTGAGTTTGAAAACTGTTGTCCTATGCCAGATGTGGTGGCCCACACCCTTAACCCCAGTACTTGGTAGGCAGAGGCAGGCCTAGTCTAGTGAGTTCCAGGACAGCCAAGGCTGTTACACAGAGAAACCCTGGGGGGGAGGGTAGGGAGAGAAAAAGAAGAAAACAATTATTGTATTGCTAATCAACTATCCCCACTCTAGAAAGGCTGAGAAATTAACGAGTGTCACATACAATGGAGAACAGCCCTACTTTCCACATGGACCCATGATTAATTTTGGATGGACTGGTATGAGTGAGAAAACCTTTTTTTTTTTTTGAGACAAGGTTTCTCTGTGTAACCCTATCGAACTGAAAGAGATCCGCCTGTCTCTGACTCACAAGTGCTGGGGCTAAAGTGTGCACCACCAGGCCCAGCAAGAAAAACGTTTTTAAAAGGGATTCCTCCCTGTGATTGAGAGAGGCTTGTTACAGGCAATATGGCTCCAAGTCAGATGTCTCTACTTCCTGCTTCCTGTTTAAGGGCACATACAGATTTGCAACAATACCAAGAGGGCATTACTCAAAGCAAATTAATAGTACAGAATAGAGGCACACACTGTCAAGATGGACAGCCAGCCACACCACTGACACCTGGTTATTCTGTAGGAGATGGGTTAATAAGAGATAAGGAGGGTGGTTCTGCGTTTTGATGGATTGGACTGTATAATCATTTTTCTGCTCTGCATGTTCCTTCCCATAATACTTATGATTACTTAATACATCTAATTATAGCATAAGTTGGTGAATAGAGGATTCTTCCTCCAAGCTTACTTGAGGACATAGCTTCTCTTGTTTATATACTCCGGACCAGTTCAGACCTGATAGGTCTGTCTCTGCTCTACCCTTGAACTAAGGTGCATTGAGAATACATTTGAATAGAAACATCCAAGTATGATGGTCTTTAAAGGGAGGGGGAGCTTACCCATTGTTCAGAGACGGGTGTGTGTACAGGGAGCTGGGTGTTTTGTTCAGGGAAAGAAGTGTGTGTAGAGTACCTGAAGGTGAAGGAAATGAGTTGCTAAGTACCTTATTAGAATTTGGAGTGGGTGTATGCCTAACACAAACCCTGGTCCCTGCCTACCAAACTGTTACCTGCATTTGCTTGTCTTACCATAGAGTGCATAAGCAAAATCAAGGAACTGTGTACAAATTAAGAAGCTCCTTGGGGGACTGGCAAGATGGCTCAGTGGCTAAGAGCTCTGGATGCTGTTGCAGAGGACCCGGGTTCTATTCCCAGCACCTACATGGTGGTTCATAACCGCATGGCAAACAGAAAAAAATAAATAAAAATAGACCCTGCCCCAGGCCATGCAGCTGGGGCCAGAAGAACTCAAAGGATCACAGCCCAGGCTTTCTAGCCCAGGCTCGTGATAGCTCTCCAGCCACACCTCTGTACCAACCAGGAGCCTGTCACCAGGAGCTGGGCAACTGGGCACTACTAAGATCTCTTTGTGATGAGGAAGCATGGTCCTGCCCAGAGCCATGGCCCTCTAAGTCTAAGCCTCTGAGCGGGACAAGGAGATCCACAGGAGCGCCTGAGGTGGGCCTCCCCGGGGCTTCCGGGAGAAAACACTGGCCCACCTGGAACCTTGTGGTGCCAGGCAGACAGGCACTACTATGGTGAGCAAATGTATGGTGTGATATGAGAGATGATGCACACCTGTAACGTGGGAAGAACAGATGTTCCCAGTCATCTTTGGTTTCATTGTAGATCAGTCCGGACTACAGGAGCCAATCTCTTGAAAGAAAGGAAGAAAGAAAAGAAGAAGGAGAAAGAAAAAGAAAAGAGGCTTTGCCATCAGTGATCGCTTCAGCGGCAGGATATTAAAATTGGAAAGACAGAGAAGACCAGCACGGCCCCTTTGCAAGGACGGCATGTGAATTCATGCAGAGTTAGCTATTTTTCTTCCCATGGTTGAAGAGGGGAGATCTTGAGAGGCCCTAAAATTGCATCCAGTGTTTTGAATTTTATAATAAAAAATATCATAACAATAAAACAATAAAAAGCTCATCGTCATTGACGTTTGGCTATCGTTACTTACTCCCGTTTTAGCTGACTTTGCCTTTTTCTAAAAATAATAACAAAGAAGAAGCCAGAAGATCCAAGTTAGTGTATTCAAGGCAAACCCTAGTTTCTCTGTGCTGTGTAGAACAATGGACCTGGACTTTTGTTGTGTTTTGTTACCTTTTTGTTTGCTTGTTTGTTTGTTTTCAAGACAGGGTTTCTTAGTGTAACAGCCACAGCTGTCCTGGAACTTGCTCTGTAGACCAGGCTGGCCTCCAACTCAGAGATCCACCTGCCTCCGCCTCCTAAGTGCTGGGATTAAAGGCGTGCGCCACCACTGTCTGGCCAAGAAATATATGTATATTTAAAAGATGCAGTCAGAGGTTAGAATTTCTTTTACTTTTTTTTTTTTCCGAAACATGTTGTCATATAGCCCAGGCTAGCCTCAGAATTCATTATGTAGCTGAGGCTGTCCTTGAGTTCCTGATTGTTCTGCTTCTACCTCCCAAGTACTGAGATTGTACCTGGGTGCCACTCAGGCTCAGATAGATTGGAGTTTTGAAACCCCGAGTCAAGGAAGGTCAGGAGCTATGAAAAGCTGGAAAGGGCAAAGTCTTCTCTCCGAGAGTCCCACCAGGACTACTTCCCTGCCCAATACCTTGCTTTCAGACTTCTGGCTTCAAGAACCATAAAAGCGTGTGTGTCCCTTCCTTGAAGTCCTTTGGTTTTAAGCCTTGGACAGGGCAGCACCAGGAAGTGACCGTTGGCACCATCCTGCAGAGAACAATGCAGGTGAATCTCAGGGTTTGTAAGATCTCGTTAACAGGATTTATTTACCTTGTTACTGATGAAGTGACATGTCAGCACTTTCCATGATTCTTGTATCTTGCCACCAGTGGTACGTGATACTCTTAATGTCCCTCCCCACCTTGTTTTTTATTCCTGGACCACTGAACTGAGTAGGATACACACAAGGAATACCCAAGGTGACTCATTAACAAGACAACACCCCAATTTAGTATCCCAATGTCAGAAAGCACAAAGCTAATGAAGGGTGATTTTTGACCCCAAACGATGCCAGGAAGGTAATTAATTACCACTGAGATTTTGGGGTAGGTGAAGGCTCACATGTTCTTTCTTGAGGCGTTACTTCTCTGTATTAGTGGAGTGTAATGTAGGTTTAGAACATCTTTTTAGGACAGTAAAAAAGTCTTTCTCCAACAGCTACCAGCTATACGTTTCTTTGTATTCTTCTTGACTTACGAAAAAAAAAAATCAGTAACTAGGCATGTAGCTTAGTAAGTAGAACGCTTTCCTAGCATGCACAAAGTCTAGAATTCAATCCATAACAACACATAAATTGGGCATGGTGGTGTACACCTGTAATCTTAGCACTGGGGAAACAGAGGCAGAAGGATCAGAAGCTCCAGGACACCTTCTGCTACATCTTGAGTTCAAGGCCAGCCTGGGCTGTGTAAGGCCCTGTCTGTAAAATAAAAAGAAATGCAGGGAATGTATATTATGTATGTGTGTGTTGGTTTCTCACAGATCAGATGCCCCATATCACCACACATCCATTACAGTGTGTAGATGCTTGTTTTTACTCTTCACTCTCTGGGTGAGCCTGTAGCGAGAAATGCACTGGAGTCCGCTTAAAGTGTAAAGGAATTTATTAGGAAAGAAACCTCACTAAACAGGCTGGGGGAATTGTCTGAGGGTCCTGGAAGGCTGAGGTCCTGTCCTCCGCTGCTTTGGCCATCTGAGTCAGTCTGCACCATCCAAGCCCATGAAGGAGAGAAGAGACCTGCATTTGTAGCTCAGGTCTTAAGGGTGGCCTCAAGGCCACTCCCTGGGGGCAGTTACTTCAAGGTTATAGATAGAGCAGATACCCACTACATCTCTAATGGCTGTGCTTCAAGGTCATAGGTAGACAGATATCCACTACATCAGTACTGTGGGGTGTCTTGCTGTACTCTGTGAATGTATGTTGTTTCCACTGGTTAATAAACAAGCTGCTTTGGCCTATGGCAAGGCAGCTTTGGGTCAGGCAGGAAATCCAAGCTGAGACACAGGAAAGAGACAGGAAGAGGAGATACCAGCTCACCACCCAAGGAGGAGCGAGATGCCAGCAGACCAGTAACGCCATGGCAACGTGGAAACATATAGATTAATAGAAATGGGTTAATTTAAGATGAAAGAGGTAGTTAGCAAGAAGCCTGAGCCATAGACTATATAGTTTGTAAATAATATAAGTCTCTGTGCATTAACTTGGGACCAAGCAGCTGCAGGACTGGGTGGGACACAGGACACTTCTGTCTACAGAGGCCTGCCACCCAGCTCCCAAGTAAATCACACAGAATGTTATTCTTTCATATGGATGCCTGGCCTTAGCTTGCCTTGTTTCTAGCCAGCTTCTCTCTCTCTCTCTCTCTCTCTCTCTCTCTCTCTCTTCCTCCCTCCCTCCCTCCTTCCTCCTTCCTCCTTCCCTCCCTCCCTCCCTCCCTCCCTCCCTTCCTTCCTTCCTT